GAGGTTTATCAAAACCAGTAGAAGACAAATATAGTTTAACTGGCACTCCTAAGAATGAATTAATAATAATTGATGTGAATAATTTTGACCGACAGAATAGTAAATGCTGTTTATTTGTCTTAATTCCCTCTTAATATCCTTGTGAGCGTCCTTATATTCATGTTGAGGGGGTAATCATCAGGAGGGATGAGGGTTGGTGAATAATTCTCTACGCGTTTACATATAATCCCTTTCTAACTAAGAGTGCTTAAGAAAAAGGTTCAAATCCCAATTTAAATTGTTCTGTTATAATATTTTTTTTCACAAAAATTTAAATTTTAATTCATGAACTAAACATGCCTTAGGAAACTCCATAAAATATTTATACGTATCCATTAGCCATGTTATTACCTTCTTTTTGTCCCCTCTCAATTCACAAGTCAATGAAATACTGATATTGTTTCAAAAAGAAAAGGTCAAATTTATATGACGTTTAATTATATATACACGCTTTTTTTTAGGATATAGACACGCTTTAGGGTGTTCAACTTCCAAACTTAATAAAATCCAAGCGAAATAAAAAATAAAATAAAAAATGGAACCCCAAAAATTTTGTAGAACGACAATAAAAAGTTAAAAATATATTAGAAAAAACCGGCGAACGACAATAAGAAACCAACTACGGAAATAATTGAAAACGATAATAGAAAGTAAAAGACAACTTCAGAAAGATAATAAAAGGAAACGACGGAAAACTTGAACCTAACACAACAATAGAATAATGAAACAACGGACTATTAAAAAAAGCAAAACGGCAACATTAATGAAGAACAAAAAAACGACAAAAACAATATAGAACCACAACAAAAATAAAACGACGACAAAGAGGACGAATGACGAAAACCCTAAAACGACGGAAAAATTTTGGAAACGGCGATGTAATGGCCAAGCCTTAAAAAGTAATAGAAAATTACATGAAAAAGATCCTGTCGCAGAAAAAGAAGAAAAACGACAATGAAATAGCCAAATCTAAATCTCTGTGTCTACAGTCCACGTAAATGTAAAAATGCACTGCAGAAATTCCCAGCTTTCTGATTGGTCCTTTCTCACAAGTCACAATTCACAACTCAACCAGGCGCATCCATAGACATACACAAAAGCATCGCATAAACTATCATCTATTATTCATAAAAGATAACTAAAGCAAAAAAAGAATTGCATTTCAGCAAAGTCGTCTTATCTCTTATGCAAGTTCCATAATGTTCAACTTCTATCATCACATTACAGGGTGAATCCAAGAAAAGGTAACTTCCCAAAGAAGAAAGAGAGGGGGGGGAGAAAGAATTGTTGGGTGTGTGGCTTCAAATTAAGCCCACAAAACATGTAAACGTACAAACAAATCTATATAGTGATGTGTATATATAAAGTAGTGCGGTTCTATCACAAACACAGATCTTTTATATAATGTAAAATTATTATCCTACTATCACAACCATAAATCGTTTATATATACATATATATATATATATGAGCTGCGCAAGAGTATAGTAGCCACACAGTTTGATTTCTCCTAATGATACACAGTTTTCTCTCTTTTGTTTTTAGTGTAGGAATATTTAGTCAAAGAATTATTTTTGGGTTGAGAAATTTTGAGTGTATTGGGGATTTGGGTGTTGAGAGATATTTAACAGGTTTTTATAATCTCTTTTTGGTTATACTAGAATTTTTTCGATGTTTCTGTTCGTGGACATAAGCCAAAAGACGAACCACGTTAAATCCTTCTGTCTTTTAGATTTTTCTGTTATTCATATTTTGTCCTAAATTTGTTTAATTTGTCGTTTGGCACAACAACTAGTATCAGAGCTTTGGTTTATTCGTCAAATTATTTTGGGATTTATAGCTTCCACAACGACGAAAAAATATGAAGTTACAAAATTCGACGAGAAGAATGATTTCAGTCTTTGGCGTGTCAAGATGCGAGCCCTATTGGTTCAATTAGGGTTGCTCAAGGCGCTAAAGGGCAAGGAGGCTTTACTAGCAACATTGTCAAATGATGCGAAAGAAGATCTCTTGGAGAAAACACAGTGTTATTCTGCTATCCTTGCCAAACGAGGTGTTGCGCGAGGTTACTGATGAGACTACTGATGCCGGGTTGTGGCTTAAGCTTGAAATTCTATATATAACTAAGTCTCACCAGTCGACTCTATCTGAAACATCATTTTTACACTCTTCGCATGTCAGAAGGTACATCTATTCAAAGTCATCTTAATGAATTTAATAGAATTATTCTGGATTTGAAAATATAGATGTGAAAATTGATGATGAGGACAGAGCCCTAATTTTGTTATGTTATTTACCTCGTTCGTATGAGCACTTTATTGATACTATGATATATGGTAAAGACACTATTTCTTTGGAAGATGTTAATGCATCTTTGAATTCCAACGAACTGAAGAAAAAGGTGTATAAAAATCGAGATGAAAATTAATCAAGTGCATTAGCTATTAGGGGTAAAGGAAATAAAAAATGTGAAAAAAAAAAAAAAAAAAGGGAAGTCTAAGAATAGCAAAGGCAACTACAATTATTATCGCCAACCAGGGCTTTGGAAATCTAACTGCCCATAGCTCAAAGGAAACAAAGAAACAGGTGAAGAAGCATCAACTGATAATAATATTAATGTTGTTGAGTATTATGATGATTGTCTCCTATATGTGTCTGCTGATTGCGTAGACAACTCTTAGATTCTTGACTTTGGATCTTCTCAACATATGGAGAATTATATGTCCTGTAAATTGTCAGTGTTGGAACCATCAAAATTAAGATGTTTGATGGCAGAAAGGACTTTGACTGATGTTAGACATGTGCTAGATTTGAAGAAAGTCTTGTTTCTTTAGGGACTCTTGACTCACAAGGTTATAGATATTTCGCTGAAGGTGGAGTTCTGAGAGTCAGTATGGGAGCTTCTATGGTAATTAAGGGTGAGTTGCATAATGATCTATGTTTTCTGCAAGGTAGTATAGTTGTTGGTGCTACTATTGTCTCATCTTGTTTGAATCCATATTTTAAGATCAATCGTTCATGACATTTGCGTTCGGGTCATGTGAATGATATGGGGATGTCAATTTTGAGGTTTGTTGATGACTATGGTGTTGTGCGCAATTTGGTGAGAGTTATTTGAATGGGTTCTTCGCGAAGAAGATAGTGAGACACTACACTACTTGAGATTTGCTACAACAATTGTTCGTCGCAGATAGTACGAATCTCTTGGATAAAGCTTGTTGTTTGCTTTCTAAATTTGATTTTCCAGCCTGCTATTTGGCTAGATCTCCATCAACCGCATTTGGATTGAAGACTTCATTTGAGATATAGTTCGGTTGCTCTGTTGATTTTATTTTGAGAATATTTGGTTGTTCTGCATGGGTTCATGTGAGTGATGGTAAGCTTGAGTGAAGGACAACAATATGGCTATTCCTAGGATTTGTGTTTGGGGTGAACGGCTATTGTTGTGGTTTGTTGGGCCAAAGTCACCAAATTTAGTAATTAACAGAGTTAGTGATTTTGATGAATTTACTATCTTATTTGAAGATAGAAAGAGCTGCACATAAAGATCCCAGTGTTCATGAGCAGGCGGCGTTTGATAATTTAATTTGTTTTGAATCAGGTGTGACAAGTTCAGTGATAAATTAGTTGTGATGCGAATCCACCGGGATATAACCCTTTTGAACCCACGAACAGATGGTATTTGAACCCAAGAAGACTAAAATCAGAGTATAGTGATCCACTTAAACCCTTGAATCAAAGAAACAAGAACCCAAGTGTTGAAAACGCCACAAGGATGATCAAACCTTGATAAGTTTAGTAAGTTCAATGAAGAACGCAAGAGAGAACAGAAATCCTCACACTTTGTATTGAAATTTAATTTTCAAGATGTTCAGAAGTTTACAAACTGAAAGCTATTTACAGGGAATGCTCCAAAACAAACGTTTAACTTCGGAAAACACAAAAGTCTCAAGCAAACAAAAAGATACAACAATTAAACACTAAATCAGACCAAAAAAAACCCCCAAATTCTATGCGAAATTAATGCTCCTTTGAACCTTCAGTCTTCCAACACGTTTTAAACTTGTGCAGCTCCAAATGAATGAATTTTGCAGCTCATTAATGAAGAAAACAAAGACTTTTCGGCTTCACAAAGGATTCCAACAGTCTTAAGATTGGGCTTGAATGAAACAAGAGAAATCTGATGGCTTACTTAAGCCCATCGTGCTATCTTTGGGCCCACTTGCAACTTGCTTTGTTCATATCTCTTGAACAAGGCCATTCAAAGCCTCTTTAAGTTTTTTAGCCCGTATCCTTGTAATTGGCCCACTTGGTATGTGCAATGGATCAGCTTATAGCATCTGATGAATTGTATCAAGTTGCCAATTAGAAGTTCAGGCGTGGCGTCGTTTGGACTTATTTGATGTTGCAAATTGTGATTAACCCTAAGGGGTTTTGGAGGAGATGGCGAACGAGTTTCAGTGCTTGGCTTAATTATCACCTTCATCAAAATAGAGATTGTTGCGCGTGACTTCAAATTAAGCCCACAAAACATGTTTTTTGGTTTGGGCTCAAGGCCCACATCTTCCCCTTTATTGCGGCAGGATATATATATACATACATATATATATATATACATACATACATATATTAGAGCCGCGCAAGAGTATAGCAGCCGCACAGTTTGATTGCTCCTATTGATACACAGTTTTTTCTCTTTTATTTTGATCTAAAATATTTGGACAGAAAATTATTCTTTGATATTTGGTGTTTCTTACTTTTAGATCAAGAGATTTTTAAGTAAGACTTGTGTAATCTCTTTTTGGTTATAGTGAATTTCTATTCAAATACGTAGGCCAAAAATTAAACCACATTAAATTCTTTTGTCTGTTATTCATATTTTGTCCGCAACAAGAATTCCATGATAGTCAACTTACATTACGGGGTGAATCCAAGAAAAGGTAACTTCTCAAAACAAAACGAAAAAAAAAGGGAAAGAATTTCACGTCAAGCTGTTCCGTAAGAATCATGACAATCCATATAAATAAAATCAAAATGGCAAAGGACTCACAGTATTGCTGCTACATCACTCGTCTATATTATTGCATTCCTTCTAGCCTCCTGAGTGTAAGAAATACAATTTTTCACTCATCAACACGCTGTATATGTACATTTCTTCCATCCCCGTGTGTGTTGGTCAAGAGAATGAGATGTCATGTCCCAATACAATAACGAACACATGAAAGCCGCATTCAACAAGCTGATGCAAACACAAACAAAGCCACCAAAAGGCAAAGTATAAAAATTTATCGTATGGACAACTCCTGAAACATACATGGAGAGAAACAAATATATATAAATGGCAAAGATGTACTAAGTACTAACAGATTTACAGATGCGCGTACCCTAGGAAACCGTCAGCAGTTCCAGCTGTGGTAGTGGCATTCTTAATCTACTGCCACAAAAGAGCAATAAGGACGCATATTAAAACAAACAGAAGGACCCTCTTGAGGAAATAATCTTGCTGTCCTTGACTCGTGTGGCGATGAAATCTATGCACATTGCCACCGTGAAATGAATTTGAGAATCCATGAGGAAAGCCAGCAGCACCACCATACACAGGGTCGGGAAAACCATGCAACTGAAGGTTCAACAAAGACGGGATTAGACCGCCGAAAGCCGCGGACAAAGTGAAATTCCCGAACCTCGCGGTTGCCATCGGAGCAAAACCTCCCAACCCTCCCAAACCTCCCATGAACCCGAAACCATGATGGGGAAAGTGATTCGGCTCTGGGGGAGGAGCAGTTTCCGGTCTCTGCCCCGCTGGGCGGTGGGGGATATTGTCATCAGGAATCGATTTTGATCTCGGGTCAGTCGATGACTTTCCCCTGCCGTACAAAGGAACCAACTTGTCCTCCTCGATCAAGGCCTTGCAAACCGGGCAATCCTTGGAACGTGAGTGAATGTGGAGCCATTTGTAAAGGCAAGGCCAACAAAAAAGATGGCCACATAAAGTCACAATGGGGTCTTGAGCTAAGTCAAAGCAAATGTTGCACTCAAAACTACCAGCATCACCGTTGTTGTTATTGTTATTGCTATTGGTTGAGCAAGAAGGCCCTTGGGATGGCCTGCTTGTTGATCCACCAAATCCACTTGCCATCCCTCCCTCCTTCACCCAAAAAATTCACAATCCTATGTTCACAAAAATAATCACAACTCAATTAACAGTGCCCACAAATTTATTATCATTATTATTATTTTAATAAAACGCCATTAATTTAAGCCTATTTCATCATGAGTATGAAAATCCCATCAGAATGATAATGTTAAAAGTCAAAATTGAAACGATAATTCGAGAACAAATCAGAAGGCATATGGCGATCCTGAAGCGCTATCCTTTACAAATACTAGCGAAATGAAAGCGATCTGGCTTAATTTCCGAACCAATTCTATGAAATTCCATTACATCTTCTCGTATTTTCCAACAGCCAGACGGCTTGCGAGAATAACAATCAAATAAGAACCCAAACATCCTAAGATCTCTAAACTGGTTTTATAGATTCCCAGAAGCATAAAATATGTTATAAACTCTAGATTTCATATCAAGAATGAAAGGATAGATATAGACCAAAAAAATTAAAATTGAAAAAATAAATAAATAAAAGATAAATTAAATGCGAAGAAAGAGGGGAAGAGAAATTACCAGCCTTAGGAAAAGGAAATGGACCGAAATGATCGATCCCAAGTCAAAAACGACTAATAGAAAGAGAAATTCGGAAATTTCCGAGAAGTGGAGAGATGGAATTGTGGGTTGGGCCAAAGGTATAATCGACGTTTCTCTCCTATAGATCTACGTTTCGTGCGTGTTACTCGGTTTGGGAATCCCCGCACAGTCACGGAGAGAGCCGAGTCAGATTGTTTGGTGTCCAGCTGGCATCTTCCTGTCTGTAGATTCTCCGCCAATCACTATATGCCCGTACATTTTTTTGGTCTAATATTTTTCTTTGGATTTTTTTTTTAAAAAAATAGATCCTTTTTTCTGGTGTTATAAAACAAGAGTTGATTTTTGTTACATAACGGGAAAAAAATAGTGAGGAATTTAGTTCAAGTTTTATGTTTGTTGGATGCGTAAAAAATTATATAAAAATAAAAAAAAAGTATTAATCTAACCGTAGAAAAATATGACATATTAATACATTAGTATTAAAAAAATTTCAAAATGGTATAAAAAGAATAACATTATTTTTTTTTATTCCATTATTAAAGTAATTATAGATAATATCTTATGTCAGGTTAAAACATTAATAACTCTTTAAGATAAGTAGTAACATGATAGGGAAAAAAATTAAAACTAATGTTATTAGCCTATTTATCAATTTGTTTTTACTAACGTTAAAAAAAATTAAAAAAAAAAAAGAAGCACCATAGATAAATAAATAAAATAAAGGAAACAGCGTCGAAATAAACTGTATTCATATTTTTCAATTGCTGTTGTTTTTAGTTAGCATGGAGAAAAATGACTATGAAGTTTCCATGCTATCTCGCTTCAAGTTGATGTCGTTTTTCCAGGAAAAGATTGTTGGTCTCCGAATCGAATTCGGACGCGGAAGCGTGGCGGTAAGAGGAAGAGGCGGATCGTGTATAACAAAAATTTTTCATAAAATTTTTGAGATACTCTATAGATTATATTAATTTATGCACGAATAAATTAATCTCATTAACTTATATATATCAAGAACTCAATCAGGAAAAATACCTGGAAGTCGACTCGGATGATAACTTGAGTTCTTTGACCACGAATAGTCCTTGCTCCAATCTTTGTGCTTAGAAAACTAATGTCTTCCACGTCAATTCCTAGAATCCACGAAGACGTGTGTGTGGGCACACATGAGACAAAATGGGTTACAGTAAACACTCGAATTTCTACAAACTCCAACGCATGCACGATGTGGAATTTTTGGAGAAAAAATATTTCCTTCTTTCTATAGAGAAATTTTGGCCACCTCTAAAATTAGGGCAAAAAACCATTCCGAAAATTGTCTCAAAAATAGTATTTATAGAGTAGAAGTCAAACTTCTAGAATGAATCAAATCTCTATCTCCAATTTGAATTTCGAAACGAAATCTCCTCTATCCCTTATCCCTTAGTGTGGCCGGCCAAGATGGGGATTCTCATCCCTGTGTGGCACCAATATCAGATAAGGAAGGAAGAGAAAATCATCCTTTATCCTGTAGTCCAATTTTGACTCAAATTCAAATTCCAATTCAAGTCAAACTTAAATTAATTTGAATTCTAAATTGAACAACTTATCAAATAAGTTTAAATGGATAAATCTAGATGTGTTCAAATTCAAATTTAAATAATCACATTATTTAAATAATAATTAATTCTCAATTAATTAT